TGGAACTTCTGCTTCTGCCTCGGTGCTCACAGAACCACAAGATGGGGAGTGAGGGATGGCACCCTGGTAGGTCTTGCCCACAGAAAACAAAGGCTGGCGTGCAAACCTTCACCAGACTCGCCTTGTGAGGAGCCCAGACCAACACTGCCATTACCCTGGAATATCAGTGCTCCGGTTCCCTAGTGCCACGCGGACAAGAATAGACCACGAATGTGATGGCGTGAACAAACAAGAGTTTATTCTCTTACAGTTCATGAGGCTAGAAGTCCGAGTTCAAAGTGCCAGACTCTAGGGGCTGGGTGAAAGCCCCTCGACCTTGGGCTTCAGCTCTGCCTCCTGCCCCCGGCCACTGAGGCTAGAGGCCTCTCTTCACTCAGGCAGCTGCTGGCTGCTGAGGCTGACAAGCCCACGGGTGACAAGTCAAAAGGCACAGTCCTGATGTTATCAAACCACACGACAAGCCATTAATTCAAGTCCACTGTAAGTCCCAAGGTCAGCAGAGCATGGCAGGCTGCTGAACAACGACCCAGCTACATGCAGGGCCCAAGCACACCACACGCTAGAGACCATTCCCAAACCTGCTGCTTAAATATGGGAAGCAGACCACATCCCTAAGGCAGCAACTCAGTTGCTCCAATACATTCCACCATGGAGTTGATGACCGGTCTCATCATGGGGAGTAACTACATTCAGGTGCCCAGCCACTCAACCAGGCCCAGCCAAGTTGACACAGAAACGTAACCATCGCAACGGTCTTGCCACATTTCCCAAAAAAGGAAATTACAAAATTGTATCATTACCCTGGCGACCTGTGGCCGGGGGGCCAGTTCCGACCCAGCGCCGTGTGACAGACAGAGCTGCCTGCGGAGCCTCCGAGGCTGTCAGCTTCACAGCAGCCGGTCACCACGTCCCCGTCCCGTGCAGGGGCTGCTGAGCTGCAACCACTGACCTCCGCGTTAGCACCTGAGTGCTCACCACTGAGCCTCCAGGCTCCTTGCATTTCCCTTTAGGGAAAGGGTTCTCCACTCCGGCACTGTTAACCACCGGACCCCTCTCTGGGACGCAAGGGTCCCGTGCACTGCAGGGTGTTGGGTAGTGTCTCTGCTCTGCACCCACTAGTCACTCTCTGTCGGGGGCTGTCCCGTGCACTGTGGGGTGTTGAACGGCATCCACGGTCTACACCCACTAAATGCCAGTAGCTCCCTACCCCACCTCAGGTGACAACCAAAACGTCTCCAAAACCAAAACAC